ACAGATTTTCTTCCCGCCGGCAAATATTCCAACAAAAAACACATCATGATGGGACTGAGACAAAAACAAATGAAGATGAACAAGGTTTTAAAAATGCTTCTATATAGGTCTTATCTTTATGTTATTCCAGTATTAGCTGAGGACATGCAAAAAGGTGATGTCAGACTTTGTTAATCATTGTCACATTATGAGTCTTAATAGCCCTTTTATTACCGCAATCATGAGATGCTGACGGAACCAAATAGAAATACATGAGCAAACATATAGGTGAGAATCTCATCGCATGCCGAGTCCTGTTTTGTTATAATTGTGATAATTTATGAAACACAGTCCACTTTTCTAAACATTCTCTATTTTATGAGATGTTTTATTTGAGGTTGTTACAATCTCTGAACCAATTATCTACATTATAAGACATGGCTTCATAAACCTCCTTTGCGTGTAATCAGTCTGTTATAGTCGGTTAGTTTCACATCGTCGAAGTAAATGGACTTTGGAACAATATTCACATTTTCAAAGTTTCACATGTTGCGTCCAGATGGAGTAACTAACTTCTTTTTGGCCAAATAAGTTGGGAGATAAATGTTTTAATGGGTGAAAACTGACTTTTAAATTAGATTTGCATGGATCATCATCCATGGAGTGTTGCTAACGTACAATAATGCAAACTATTTACTCACATTTTTTTAAGGTTAAGTTTCAGCGTTGATATAGTTTGATAAATTTGGGTGAAATTGTGTCTAATGCAAATAACATGGATTGATTCCCGTTTATAAAGTTTAAAACAAATAACAGAAAGAACTTGATGAGATTGTTAGGGTTAAGGGGTAAAACTTAGACAAAAAAATCGACTTATCTTGTATACAGTATTTTCCATTTATAGCACCAACATTATTTGGTTGTGACGGTGTAAAGCATGTGGTTTGTGCACACACCTTAATCAAATATCTCAGTATCAGAGACGAGCTCACATGAGAACCAGACGTACTTCATATTTTCACCAAGGGAAACTGGTCTCTCCATGATTCACCCGGATACCTATTAGCTTCACTGTACTTTAGATTAGGGAATCATCCGTTAAACAAAAAATCTAAAATCAAAATCAAAGAAAACATACTACAAAATGCGCAATGTCAAACCTTTCTGGTCCCCTAATTGAAGGTTATTTCTAAAAATGTTCACGCCATTCTGTATGGAAACAAGCAGTGGATGCATTTGAGCTACAAAAACACCTATGAATGAACAAAGCTAAAAAGAGATCAATGGTGTGTTTTTGTTTTCATTAACATTGTTTATTTTTATGTTTAAGCAAAGCAATATCACAAATGGTAAGTCAGTTCTAAGATTATTTACTCTCATTGGCCAACATAACACAAACACAAAAATGTGAGTTAAAACAATGCCCATGTATGTCCATTCTGCAGCAAAGAGACTACAAACGGGACGTTGGAATGAATGGATGATTATGTTGGTCTTAACTGGTTACCTCATGGATAAGCTGCCTCAGTTCCACCCGTCTCGTCTGGGAAGTGTTCAGACAGGGCCTTCAAAGCTCCATCAGTACAGTGCAGTCTGTGTGTGTGTGTGTGTGTGTATGTGTGTGTGTGTGTGTGTGTGTATGTGTGTGCGTGTGTGTGTGTGTGTGTGTGTGTGTGTGTGTGTGTGTGTGTGTGTGTGTGTGTGTGTGTGTGTGTGTGTGTGTGTGTGTGTGTGTGTGTGTGTGTGTGTGTGCATGTGTGTGTTCATACCTGCGTTGTAGTAGCTTGGGGCCTTTGAAGTGAGGAATAGATTGTTCAAATAAAGATCACAGGGCGAAAACATGAGAACTGAAGGTCATCTTTGGTCAGGTGATGTGGATCAAGGTAGAACCTGAAGCAAATATAACATGAAAGAAAAAAATATTGTGAACAATTTGTAACACAGCACAGTGTTTTCTTATTATTTTTCATGAGAAAAAAAAGTTAGCTCTAAAACCACCAGGAGAGACACTTTAGAATGCTCTGTTCTATCACACTGCTAAATGCCACAAATGTGTGGTCTGGTGTGGCCACATATCATCCATGGAGTGTTGCTGACGTACAATAATGCAAATGCACACACCACATTTGTGTGGTGTGTGGTGCACACCAGACCAAGGCCTCCATGACAACATGTTCACCTTCCAGATTAGTTGGAGAGCAGCTTCAACAGTCTGTTTACATAAACTGAAGCGCCTCGGGGGGCTCAAATCAGCCCATCGTCTTAAACTTAGTCATCAGCAGAAAACGCTGGTTTGGTCTTTCTGACACTGGAGGTATTCTGTCCACAGATGAATCATTTTGTGAAATGTCACAAATGTAACATATTCTTCCACTTCTTGTTCCACTAAAAACATGTACAATACAGTTCAGGGTGAATGAGTGTGGGGCCCCCGATACCAACCACATAACCACATAAAAAGTTTTATATTACAGTAGGTGTAAATACATATTTAACAATAAGGTAAAATTCTATTACTTGTTTTCATTAATATAAATTAAATGTAGATAATTTCTTATTTTTAACAATAAATGGATTGGCCTGGGGCTTGCCTGGCAGACTGTACAGTCTACCATAGAAAATTTTGAAAACTTCAGCACTTATTGTGACACAAAGCAATGAGAAATAATTTAGCATATCTTTTTATAAACTACACTCATCATGTTATAATTAATTACAAAAACTACCCATCAAATCTACCCATTTGGCCCTTGGTGTTTATATAGTCAATACCTGGGTCATCGCAGTGCAAGCGCTGCAACTTACCACTATTACATACAATACATATTTGTGTTGCCGGACAGGCTTTTCAACTGTTAATGAAGAACGTGGCAAGTTAAGCATCAGATGAAAAGTTTTTATCTGCCAACGCGTCACTGCAGGTAGCTGTTTTAGCCTGTACAAGTCGACCGCTTGTGTCAAATCAGTCGGCCCTCGGGGGTCCCCTGCCGGTTTGGAGGCCCTGCCTGCCTTGCCTAATAGCAAGGGACGCCTCTGAGGCTACAATCCGGAGAGGTGTGTTCATTAACATGCACTGTCCCAGCCAAAATAAACATAGAATAAAATAGATGCCTCTCCTACTGTACATACTTCCTGCTCTTCATGCTGGCAATCCTGAGGCATTGCTAATGCAAAACTGGATATATCAGAGGGGCCTTATAGCCTCAGATGTTCCACACAAGTGAACATGTATTTCAAATACTTTTCATCAGTTCACCCATGGGGAACATGAGCTGGGTTCAGACGGTTAAGGGGCAGGTTAGCTTTACCTTGTGTTGTTGCCATAGTTATCTAGCTCAATAAAACACATTTGCAAATAATATAGTTCTTACAGTATTATTTGCTTATTATTAACTTTGATCTTATTATGGAACTGGAAAGTAGAATGCAGTATGTGCCGCTGTGCCCCCTGTACCCGCTGGTGCCTTCTGAAATGTCACAGTTCCATGCTTTGTTGGGTCGGTGGGTTCGCACTAAGCATGCCCTGAAAATTCCTGGGTTTTATTGATATTGGTAATACTCATAGAACATTCAATGGTGTTTCCCCATGTCACAGTGCGACTGATTTTAAGCATTCCTCCAAAACATTTAACCATAAGGATGATGTCATTTCGGCCTTTGGACAGTAGACGCTGCAAAAATAAATTTTCAGACTTCAAAGAATGCACAGCAGGCACATCCAAATGCCCCTCTAAGCCGTGATAAGACGGTATTTCCGCAGAATTGTGATGACTAAACTATAAAATACAGTTCATACATTGGGACATAAAAGACTATATCATCTGCAATCACCACATGTGCACTCTGGAGCACAGGGGACTTCCAGGCCAGCACACCACCTCCACCCACATGAATGATCACATTCCACTTGCTGGTTTGCTGCTGCCTCATGGTCATTAAGTGAATAATAGCCTAAAAACCTCCTTATCCTAATCTCCTTTTTGAGTGATGTCAATATAGTCCACAGTGTGATACATTTTCTATTGTTCCTGTGTAGTTTTCATTCAGATCCCCATTAGCTACTGAAAGAAACAGTAGCTATTCTTCCTGGGGTCTATATACTCCATGTCACACAATATAACGTTCAAAGGACAGAAATGAAATGTACAAAAAATAATAATAATAATAATAATACATAAACATATAAAACATACACTAATACAAATACATACATATATACATATATATACACATACATACACATGCACATATGTACACGTGCACACATACACACACGTGAGTCGAACCTTAGAATGTGGCACCAATTTACATATTTGAAATAGTGCCATTAGAGTTTCCAACTTAGCCTAATAAATGGTCTGTTGGGACAAACAATACAGGAGCCATTGTTTTCCAGCCTCCACGGACAATGTGAGAACTCAGCGACAACACAGTAGACAGCAGATAGACCTACAGATTAAAAACAAACAAAAAACAATAGATGCAACCAGACCAGGCTATACTGCACGTGTTTTTACTAATGCTTTCATCTAGGCCTCGTTTACAAAAGTTGTTAGGAGTGACTCAGCTAGATTAAACTGGAGCAACTCTCATCGGCTCCAAAGTGACCATTTAGGAATTTTCCTCAGTCTCTCGGTAGTCATAAAACACACACTCCGACAGCAGAAGTCTGCATGGATCCTCCTCTGCCTTCTCAGCTGGGGTAAGCTTCATGGGTGAGATATTGTAATCTGCTCTGCTGCGGCTGTCAACACCATAGACAACACATATAGACAGAGGGCGGAGCATGCGCACACGCATCACTATCCTGCACCTGACGTCACCCATTCAAAACAAGCCCAGGCAGCACACACGATCAGCTGGGCTGTCTGGACTGGGACTGGACTGCAATGCTCCCTCTGTGCATCACGCACCACGTCTGTCCCAGGAGAAGGGTTATTCCACTGGAGCTTTGACCAGGCGGCGCTCAGGGCTTGCGTCTGTCGCTGATATAGCGGACGACATTTACATTATACCTAAAGATGAACATGGAGGATGAGCTGACGACAGCGGCGGCCACTGGGAACGCTACCGCCGTGCAATACCTGCTCCAGAGCGGTGCGCAAGTGAACGGCGTGAACCGCTTCGGAAGGACCGCGCTCCAGGTCAGTGCTGCCACCGAACAGACACCGTACAACTTTCACTTTACACCAGACACAGAAGAGCATCAAGGAGGCCCTATTCATACTTTTTACTCAGGCTTAAGGCCATGTTTTACACGAGTGTCGAGTTTGATGACAGGACCTACGTTTGTGATAGAACCAATGAGTTTTATCGGATGTTGCGTTTTCTAATCGTGATTGAAAACGTGAACTTATACTGAAACGTGAAGTACTGTTTTAACATCTTAAACTAATGTAGTTTTCGGTCAAAATACTGCGCCCCAGAGCCTGGACCTATTGTCAAATAGGAATTAAGGATAGTGTAAAATGAATTGATAGCCTAGATCCCTAGTATCATTCAAAATAAATGATTGGTTATATAGTCGACAACATTTGTGGAGGTACAAAAAGACCAGAGCTCCAGGAGCATCCCAAATAGTCATATCAGAGACAGGACAGCCCGTCTTAATAGTCAACGTGCTCTTTGCTCTCCTTCGCTTTGAGACTGTGCTGACTATAAGTCACACTCAATTTAGAAATGACTTGGAATTATTTTATCGAAGATGATCTGAAAATGCTATTTCGTTTATAAAGAGCGACGAGTTTATTTTAGGGCCTACCCAAATACGCATGTTTTACTGTTGAAGGCCTGCACAGCCTCAAGCCGTGTGATCGCAGATGAATGGGAGAAGACCACGTTTTCATCACGCCTCTTTGAACCTGTTTTTTATTGCTCAGATATAATTAGTTTTGTTACTCATGTCATCCCTGTTCTCTGCGGAGCAGGTGATGATGATGGGCAGTGATCCCGTGGCACAGCTGCTGCTGAGGCACGGAGCCGACCCAAACCTCCGGGACCCCAGCACAGGGGCCACGCCGCTGCACGATGCTGCACGCACGGGCTTCGTGGACACCGTGCAGCTGCTGCTGGAGTTCAACGCAGACCCCAACATCAGAGACATGGACAATTTACGGCCCACGGATGTAGCGGCGCTGCAGGGCCACGCACATGTCACCGCTCTCCTGGGCAACCTTTTATAATCTGTGGTGGACTGAGGACTGACAGAGGCCTGAAGGCCCCGCATAGGAACGCATAATTATTTATTAATGACTGCAGTAATAACAGCAACGCCAGAGTATGTCGAAATGAAAGGAAAAAAGTTGCACACAAATGCTGCTGGCAATGCCCACTTATTTAGCACTTTATCGCAGGGTTCTGTGGAAACCAAAGTAAGGAAAGAAGTGGATTCCAATTATATATAATGTTGTTATATATATAACATCTCCCAAAGAATAGTATAAGTACCTATATATCTCTCAAGAGGTTAACTGTCCGTCTAACAGATCATTATAGACCTACATATAAACATTTCCATCAATATAATTAGTTATGTTAGATTTGTGTTTTATTATTTTCATTAAATGACACAGAAACAATAACAAAATTGTTGAGCCTTTAAAGTGAATTGAGTTAAAATATTTTAATACAAAATAAACATTGGTGGTCTGGCTGAAATGTCTGGTGCATGATATAACTCATCAACAACAAAGAGAATGTAAGAAAAGAAGCAGGTCATCAAAAGAAAACTTCATAGGGACTTGTCCTTCAGGTGGTTTTCCCAGAATCCAGAAAGTTTACAAAGTCTTAACTTAATGTTTGGGCAACATAACAGCAGACTGGGCCATTGACTGTGAAAGGAAACAAAACGTCATCACAGGTATACACATGTTCAATATTTGTGTGCAAATGATGTCAAAGTACTCACTTTTACGGATGTTAAAGTCTGCCCCCAGTCCATTTGGCTGATCTGGGGGATCGCCGTTAAGAGGAGGCTGCTGGCCTTATTAGCGTTTTCTTTCATGGTCTTAAGCACATTATCAACACAAACCTGGAAGGAAAATCAGAATATTCAAATATAATCATGTGTGGTAGCTTTAAGGCGCAGAAGAATAAATACAATGGTTTATGTATATTTTGGCTGCTACTAAAATTGTGCTCTTTTGAATAGTTTATTTGCAAAAACAGATAAGTGCCATTAGAAAATGTATTTGAAATGTTCACAATTTTCCCTTTACCAATTGGTTTTGTAAAAAGCCAGATCTAATTTAGTGCCATACACGATTACGTTTACCCCTTCTTGAGAAAATAATTTCAAAAGCACTTGCCTTAACAAAAGATGTTTGTAAGAAACAAGATTGTACCTAAAGGAATACACATTCGACATATTTTCAAAATACATCAGTTTTTGCAAATTAACTCATGATTTGTTTCAATGTTTTGTAGTATCGAGAGCAATATAATTCAGAATGTGAAACAGCACACTTTTCCCCACCCAATCATGTTTGTATACCCAAATTAAACTAAAGCAATGGTTTTAAACAATTGTGATCATTATTTATTTAAAAAAAAAACTATATTTTTAACTGTGTAAATGACGTATATGAAGATCCCGTCTCTCTGCTCATTCCTCGTTTTCCATTATTGGATGTGGAAATCTAAATGAGGTCTACAGCTTTATCACATCATCGGGCGGCACGGTGGCTGAGTGGATAGCACTCTCGCCTCTCAGCAAGAAGGTCCTGGGTTCGAATCCCGGTCGGACCAGGCCCTTTCTGAGTGGAGTTTGCATGTTCTCCCCGTGTCTGCGTAGGTTTCCTCCGGGTACTCCGGTTTCCCCTACCGCTAAAAATATGTAAAATAGTTCTGGCATGCGCCTCCTGTTCGGCGACCCCGCTCCCATCTCTGTGTGGAGTGAGAGACAAGTGCCCAAAAAAAATAACAATTGTAAACCGCTTTGAGACTCAGCTCTGCAGTGAAAAGGCGGTATATAAATAATTACTTACTTACTTACTTACTTACAGCACTACACTGTTTAACTCAGAATATTGCTTGTGTACTCATTTATTAAATGTTACAGTACAAAAACTTAATAGGGTCATTATGTGCTCGCTTCCTCACTGCCCAACAAATATACATTTCCTCATTTCACTGGACTTCACATGTATCGTCGAGTCTGAAATACAATGTTTTGAAGGTTTCTGTCCGGATGAAGATAATGTACTAGATGACTTAATATGACTATCACTTCCACCGGAGGCTGGCACAGAGGCTCCTGGGGGGGAGCGTGGTGGGGGATAGGAGGCAGTGTGGGTGGAAGGATGTGGCGAGAGAAGGAGGGGCAGTGGGTCAGCTGCAGGAACTCGAACGTGTTTATGAGTTACTCCATCTGTGACAAAAGAGACAATCTCTTCCCCACGTGCCGCACTTGACAATCTGAGGTCACGCTCTTGGTTAATGTGTGTAGATGCGTTATGTAACCAGGAACGCCACCGTGTGTTAGTAGGTTGTAAGGAAGAGGGAATCAAAACCAAGTGAATCTGCACTGGTTTCAACATGGAGCGGTTTCCATGTAGCGCACTCCACTGAAAGCGACCAACTGACTTGAAATTTTAAAAAGTCTATATTGCTTTTACTTGTGAATCCTACTTTTCTTTTCTGAAGCCTATAATCAATATTAAAATGCAGATCATGTTTTATTCCAGAAAAATATACAATGTACAAAAAATGCATTGTTACCAGATTAGTTGAACCTAATATATTGATTACTCAATTACTAAAACTGCCAAAAAAAAACAATAGATGCAGCTCTAAATAGAACTGTCATTAAATACGTGTTAAAGAAAGTCTGCAAACTACCAAAACTGTAAAGTTAATTTACTACAGACAGCTACCCACGCAGTATTTTTACGTAAATGTGCAGGCAAATGTCTTGAATGTGATTATTTATGGGAAATAAAACCATGTAAATGAATGTAATTACAGCCGTTTGAATCTCCAGCAACTCACCGCCTCCTCGTGCTCCTTCCAACAGTCATAGTCTGTTGCCATGGCGATGCTAGCATAGCACATGCCGGCCTCTTTGGCGAGGACCACCTCTGGCACGGTGGTCATATTGATGACATCGGCCCCCCACTGACGGAACATCAGGCTTTCTGCTCGGGACGAGAAGCGTGGCCCTTCTATTGAAATCATGGTCCCTCTCTCGTGGCACTTGATCCCAAGGCTTCGGGCCACTTCCACCAAAACCTGTCATTCAGGCACAATGTGATTTACACATGTCCACAGATAACCAGGACTTTCACCAGGTCAGTCACCTCTCTTGTTTTGCTGCAGAATGGTTCCGCCATGGGGATGTGACACACTCCTGGAGGACTGCTCTGCTGCCCATCGTACAGGGTCTGAGCTCTCTTTGTGGTCCTGACACACAACATAGTCAATAGAACATAGTCAATAGAACTGCACCTTCATTACAGTGCACCTATAATTTTGATTTTGAATTTTTGATTACATGAAAACATATACATTACATGAGACTTGGGTGGCATCTCTGATTGCCACCCCCCTGACCCAGAAATGGATTAAAGGGTAGAAAATGGATGGATGGATGGATGAATGAAAACATATATTTACATGATGTAAATGCATCACCAGACAAAAACCTTTTTGACCACTGAAGCAGTCACTTTTTCTACAGTAAATAAAACAAAAACATAATTCAGTGGTTGTGCAAGGTAAAAAGGCCGTTAATCCCTCCAGCTCTTTGTAAGTGTGTCAGAGGCACACTGGCACGGGGTCCAACGGCTAACCCTGCAAGAACAATACTGCCTGTTCATTGGAAAAAGCCTTGGAAAAACTCAATCGCACAATCTATGAGTGTATACAAACAACTCCAAGTATGTCGTAATGACACCATTAAGTGTTGGACTAAAGTTAGGACATTAAATCTATGCATTGGAGTAAACAAACCAGGCCCAACTCGCTCCTTAGTATTCACAAAGCCTTGAAGTAGTGTTCGAAAGAAGTAATGCTAAGTTAAAAAGCCAAAAGTCAATTTTGTGGTATATTATGACATAAGAGGAAGAAAATATAATTTATAGTACACTATATCATCATGATGCTATTATAAAATTACAAAACTTATGATTGTATGTCATGTTTTATAACGTTATGTATCTTATTTTATCTTGATCATAACATGTTGTATGTTTGCATTTGGACAGAGGAAGTCGTTTTATCATCATTCATTCTCACTCGCACTGGTTAGGTTTACTGACAATGGCAACAGACATTGTCAGGTAGTTGTGAAACTGTCGAAGCCTTTTCCAAATGCACTTTACTCTTTTTCACTTTACCTATGATCAGTACTGTTGCTTCAAGGATGTAGAGCAGGGCAAGTCCAGACTGTGGCCCGTGGGTCAGTTGCGGCCGCCTGTTTCACTTTATGTGACCCACTGCCACTAATGCAAAGTAACCATTCAGGTTGCATTTTGTAAAGCGTAGAATTTTTGGAATCCATGTAGTTAAGTCTATTTGTATATATTGAGATATGTTTTAGATTGTGTCACAAAATTCCAAATATGGCACTATTATAGCTGTGGTTTAAATCAATATGGACATATCATACCCCCTTCTAAAACTTGAATCCCTTGGAAAAAAATAGTTGCCTGCCCCTGGACAAACACCTCATCATTAAATCATGATGGCATCAGTTAAAACAGTAGTGTATTGGCTTTGTTTTGCTCCATAAGCTGTTGTTTAAGTGTTACATTACAACATGTAAACCTCCGGGCTATATACAGGTGCACTTAAGTACTGGATCTAAAAAAATGACAACAAATGACAGCAACAAACCTGTCTTCACATGTTGCTGGACAAGTCTGAACATGACTGTACAAGCCACTTCCTATTTTCACACACATCTTGTTCCTTATTCTGGCTGACTATTCGTTAGCTTTGGTGCGACAAGCAAACAAAGCCACTGGCAGCGTGATGCAGTCCGGTACATGAAGGCATTTAAGCAGCAGCCCACAAAAATGAGAATCCATTTAGAGCCATTGTTGCACATATTAAGTTATAGTGTGGAATTTGTGCCATCAGCCATGTGCTCCGGGCTCCCACGAGCTTGGTCTTCCAGCAAACTATACATAATGGACAGATGCCTTGCCCAAGGGCTGTACATTGGTGAGAAAGTCTACGTTGCTGCTTAAGTATTGTATCAACAAACAAGGAAGATTTAGTTTGGCTCACGAGCGATAAGTCTCCTTGACAGATGGCTAGTAAAACATGCTAATAATCTAAACAGAATTTTCTCACAACACAACAAAACCGGACATACTGTGAAAAATGAGAAAGGAAGGAAATGAAGCAGTCTTAAAATATACACATATGTCCCTCTTGTCTTGAGGTTGGTGTAAGCTTCTGCCTGAGGTGGAATGTCACAATGACACTCCACCAACTACGCCCTCAGCTACTTTGCCACAGCAGCAATATTTCAAGGTCAGGTTTTAAATGCTTCCCACTACTACACAAGAAACTTTAACTTCAGCATAATAGCAGTGAAACTCCTTGCGGTCTCAATTTCTCAAAGAGCAGCTTTTGTTAACGAGTTGTGTGTGAATTTCAAACAAACAAACAAATATACACATGGATACTATCTGCAGAGTGTATACAAATATAAGGATACAAACAGTACATGAACACCCATAAAGTCATCCTGTAGCTTCACACATGTCATTTGTGATAATAAGTTTTGGGTGATCTCGACATGTGATAATATTGAAACTCCCATAGTAGTGTTCTTGTCACTTCTAAACAGGCACGAGAGGGGGGGGGGCACTTTTAGTGAGTTTTATATTTTATGCATTCTTGCTACATTGCAATATAAACACCTATTCGCAACATCATCATTTCCATGGTTACAGAGGGGTGAACAAATTACTAGACAACCACCATTTCTCTATAACCCTAACACATGGTCTGTAGAAAGCTAGCTAGAGAAGACAACGCCACTCACTGCTGGTTTCGTATCAAATTACGGAACAAATCCAACTGGCATTCAAGCAAGTATGGACTAATAAGCTTGATCCAGCCCGTAACTATGGAAATGATCACAGTGGGAATAGGTGCATTTTTGCAAGTGTCCTGCTAGACTGCAATAAGCGAAGACCATGCAATAAAGTGCTTTACAAGTCTGATTAAATGTTATTGTTGCCATTATCCTCACTGACCTATCAATAAACTGGTCGATGATGACAATGTCTCCCGGCTGGATGTCCTCGTGCAGTGAGCCGCAGGCAGTCGTCACCAGGAGATGTGTGCAGCCTTCCTCTTTCAGTGCCCAGATATTAGCCTGGTAGTTTACACTGGTGGGCATTATGGCATGTGTTCTTCCATGTCTAGGTATAAACACATCAAAACATTCACACATGAAAATCAATGAACTTATCATTATCACAAAATATATATCATTTATAGTAATATTTTTGTTCATAATATGTTTTTGATAAACATTTTAGGGATGATTTGTGTGTCGTTTTTTTCTTCACACTAAGGCATTATTTATTTAAAACGTGCACATTTCACAAAAATAAAATACAAATCGTTTTAGTGACAAATGTCCACTAGATGGCGCAAAAAATACATTAACATTTTCTTTCGTTCCCATATTTTTTTTTTCACTCATTCAAAGTGTGCAAAATAAAGGAAGCATAATTTTCAACCTCGTAATAACTTATATGTCATATAGATATGAAAATATTTTTAAAAGAAAAAAAAAACAATAAACATACACACATACAGGGGTCTGCTGATCAACTAATATTATTTTTTTTAATCGATGTAAACGTTTAATTTCACGTTTTCAGTTTTACATTTAAAATAGAGGCCAAATAGGTTTTCAGATAAGATGCTTTAAAACCAGAAAAAGAAATAAATCCAAAAATAAATATTTTGGATGTTGGATCAGTAAATTCGAGTACAATTTGAAATTTGGAAATGATTTAAATTTCTTATATATATTCCACCCAAATAGTGTTACAAATTGGACCAAGTATTATAGAACATTCAATAAATAAATGTTCAATTCTTTCACCATCATTGACAAAAAGAACTTTGGTTACATACATTAGGTGAAAAACAACAAATATAGTCTTTTACAGGGTAATATCTATGTATAATTTTAAATAAACTTTCCTTCATCTGTGACTATATATTAGTTTGTGACTGTATTTGTAGGGCAGCAAAAAAACAGTGCAATATTTTCCGTTAAACGAACCCCAATGAATTACCTTGCCAGGAGAACACACTCAACATTCTTGATCTTTCCCAGAATAAGAGCGTCTGATGGCTGTCATAAAATAAGTATTCTACAGTTAAATAACAGAATGGCATGTGCACTGGGGAAAGTGAATCTTGTTTGTTTGTTTTTTTTTTTCAAACCTTCCCATATGGCGTGTCAACATATCTCTCAGCGCGTCCTTCCAAGATATCCGGATCATCCAGGCCAGAACCACCAATGATTCCTATCTGCACCAGGAGGAAGAATACACATGATACTTAAAGAAGGAAAATTGACTAACACAACATGAATATTCGCTATTTTTTTCCACCTCATCTTCTGAGATTCCGAAAGCCCTCAACAATAAGCACCAGCATTACATTAGTTACAAGACAGTACAATCTAAAAGGGCTTAAGTAAACTCATATGAGTGCAGGTCTATGATATATCTAAACTGATCTTGGACCGATCATCGTCCCGTTGCGGATGTAAATAGGATGCAGACCACGTGTTTCATGCCTGTATCCTGTTTTTTTTTGCAAATGATAAGCTAAGTATAAATAGCCTGCTTATTATTTTTTTAAATCAATGAACTTGGACGTGCTGGATTAACCTGGTGTTATCCGGATACAGACACTGCGTAATCAAAACACACCTCTCATTCATTAGCATTACCTTAATTGGATGAGAAGATGCCATGATCCAAATAGCTTCCCTTTTTAAGTAAAAGTAGTTATTGCGACATGATCCGGAAGAAAATACGGCTTCTGCTTTGACAACATCCGGTTCGTTATAAGCCCATTCTTTTCAAAATAAAAGCCTGGTGAAACATGAGGAAAAGCAGTGGGACAGATTCAGAGCATGAGCTAGAGCCTCCCAGACCAATTAAGGACGTGTGCAAAAATAGAACGCGGCATATGTGCAGACTATGTACTATTACTAGTAAATATATAAAGTTATTTGATTAAGAATACTAAACTACTGATATGCATTACCAACACTACTTCAATGCCAATGCTTCTGTTTCTAGCTGTGTTTTGTCTTATGTCACAAGCACTCGTATGCAGACCACCTACGCAAAGATTAATTTAATTCTTTTTAATAATACGAGTCTGCATCAGTTCATTAGCTTCACTTCCAATATCCTTTGTCCAGGAAGACCCCAGGAAGTAGAGCAAAAGTATGTTTCAGTATCAGTAGCTAGGATCTACTAAAAAACAACCACGGAAAACAACCATGTAAAAAAAGCTTTTGTACCTTGCACCCCAGATTTAGTATAGACTTGCATTCAAATTCCTGTGTTATTTCATAATTTATTACAAATATAAATTTCAATATAAACACACATCAGTTATCTCCAAAGCCCAAAACAACAAACTGGAGATTGAAAATAAAACAGGGCCCTGATTTGTTTCAATCAGAACTTAAAATATGGTACATTTTCTCAATTGAGGTATGATTAAACAATACAATATTAACCTTTTGAAAACTTTTATATACAGTGGCACCTTGTGTCTTTTTTTCCACACAATTAAGGAAGTTAAAACGACTCCAAAACATTTGAATTATGCATCTGAACAATGTTATTTTGCAGGGGTTCAAATGTTGAGGTCAATCCAAGGGTTCTTGTCCAGAAGGGACGTGATTTTCAGTGGGAGAATTGTGTACGCTAGAGTGATTATCCTTAGTTCCATCCACACAATTGTCCCCGTCGCTATCAATAGAGATGACACTTGATGCCTGCTTCTCTGCACGCTCACTGCTCTTGTGTTTTTTGCTCTTCTTTTTGTGCTTTTTCTTCTTCTTGCGGTGCCGCTTAATTCTGTCGGGGGAATCTCCTGAATTGTAACTCTCTGCGTTCTTTTTCCGCTCTTTATCGCTACCTTTTTTCCTGTGATTTGAATCATGTTTTCCGTCATCCTCTAGTACTTCCAAGTGCCTGGTTTTATGTTTTCGCTTTCCGCCAGGCTTTTCGTGATGAGATTTTCTTTTTACTGAAGGGGATCTGCTCCTAGAATAGCTTCTTGATTTTGAGTGCTCCCGATCCTGCCGTCGTAGTTCTCTGCTTCGGCTTCGGGAGCGGGTGTATTGACCATGGCGTCTGTCTTTGCCGTAGTGATAGCTGTGTGGATAAGTGCTATAGTTGTCCCTCCTTTTGTAGTAAGAGTGATAGTCATCTCGAGAGTAGGAATGAGCCCTGTCTCTGCTGTAGGATCTCACTGGAGATCGGCGCTCTCTGCTTTGGGATCTTCTCCTGGACCTATTCTCCCTATTCTTTGATTTGTGGGCATCTTTGTGTTTATCTTTGCTTCTCTTTTCCGGTGTGCGTTTTCTCTGTTTGGATAAGGATGTGGTGCTGTGCCTCTCTTCAGGAACTTGAGAAACACTCCACCTTATTTCTGATATTGCATCTTCAATAGCACTGCTCCTGTGTGAGGCCGTGGGGCTGGCACTTGGGAAACGAATGTGTCGAGGCAAACAAGACCTTAAAATAGATTCTTCGACATCTGAATCGTCTGAGGAATCAGAAGAAAGTTGGACAAGTTCTGGAGTTCTTTCAGATGTCGGTTTGACAAAGCCCACTATTACGCAGTCTTCGTTGTCAGAGGAAAAGCATTCATCGTGCACAATCTCTTCTTTTTGGTTAAGAGGGTTTACAGATTCCACAGGAGCCTGGAGACTCTGGGCTTCCTCCAAACTGCCCTCGGAGTCTGAATCTGGCAGTACTGTGAGCTCTTGAGACCAATTGGGATTTGGCTGGCTGGAGTAGGAGGGGCCAGGCGTCTCATCGTCCCACATAGAGAGACCGGTGTCAGTGGACGTAAAGTCTCCTGGAGGGTCTAGCTCTATTGACTGAGCCTCATCCTCTGATATTGCAATAACTGATGAGTTAGAGCTGTTTTCGTCAGTGGATGAAGGACCTTGGTAGTCATACACTGCATGCTGGTCATAGGCTTCCATATTAAATGGTGATTTGGCAAAGCTAATGAACTCGTGCAGGAAGTGTTCAGTACAACCCTGAAGAAATGGCCTGAGTTCATCTGACATGGTGGCATCTTCCACATCATAACGTGTGATGCGTGACATGACAATGTGTTGTACAATATTGACTAAAGAGCCATGAGCCCCATATAACACCATCAGTTCCCTCTTCAGCCAAGGCACAAGTCTGTGTAAACAGGCAGGATTTCTTCTAAAGAATTCAGCAGACGTTTCTCGAGATCGGCCTCCGTCCCGCACACCTCTGACTTTTACACCTTGACGATACAGTTCTTTTCTGAAATTAATCATCTCTTGTTCTCTCAAATTATTAACAGCTCTCCCTTCACTTGCTGCTCTCCGCTGAGATGCCAGTTTTGTCATGATGCGGTGGATGTAACGGTCTCGCCTTTGTGGTGGCTGGTTTGTTGAAGCCTCAAACATGACTCCATTGTCTGGAGGTGCGAATGTTCTCTGCCGATTGATGCCTGTGAGGGTGGTGCGGTACCTAAAACGTACACCCCCAAACGTTCCAAATGAGCCATTGTCTGCAGGCTTTAAGTCATACTTCTTAAAATCCTGCTCTGACTTTATGCTATGATAGATGGAATTGAACGGCTGTTTGCATAGCGGGCACTCGGCTTTGTTCTTGGACCATTCATGAATGCATCGGAAACAGAACTTGTGTAGACAGATGTCCAAGTATGATATATTGTTGAACAAGTCCAAGCAGATGGGGCACTTGGAGTCTGGGGAAACGTCCGTCGACCTCTGGCCAGATTTTCTTTTTCCTCGACTCTGGTTGTGTTGCAGAGCAATCTGGATGGCAGACATGGTCTGGGAGGATGAAAGGAATCTTTAAGTTCAGGCGGAAGGAAAATGCAACAAAATTAACACATAAATGATTTAATTTATATATTTTAATTGTTTACGTGTATCTCATCACATACAGTATAGTCTACGCGGATAACCTTCACGTAGCAAGTTTCCTTGACTGTTATAGGCGGGAGTTAATGCTCCACGTTTATTGAATACACATTCAAACACATCAGCATTTACAATCTGTTTATAACCGAGTTGACTATTGTTAGCCAACATTAGCTCAGCAAACAGCCGCGGCACTAGCGAGGGAACGCTCGATAGTTTTAGAAAATATTACGTATAAAAGTTAATTATTTACCTCTGACTTTAACACTTGGCTGGTGGATGGTTACGTGTATGGCTTACACCGTCTTAATGGCATGTTTTCCGATTAAAAGTCAGTTGTGAACAGTTGTTTTCAAAGTGAATCCTTTCATAACACTTCCTGAATCTTTTCCTCTGCTCCCACCGCGCTGTCACCAGAGGTCGTACAGTTCTACACTGCCCCCTGCCGGCCACCAAGGCAAACTAGCGGTACTTTTAGATCATAAAAGATCCACGAGAAAAACCCAAGCTTTTTATATACTGAGCTACCCTTGGGTTAAAGTGACCCGCCAGTGATTAAAATATACCGTAAATAATGTTATTTGTGCTGAATTATAATTTTTCCTAACTCGACCAGCCCTGGGTCCTTTAAAACCTAATTTAGTGTATTTTTCTTCTACTTTTAATCATCTGTGGCAGGTCATTTTGACCCAAGGGTGGCACAAGGAATGTAAAACAGCAAAGTATAAAGGTTTACAAGCTAAATTTAACGAATTATCAAATAGATTAAAAGGAGGTAATCAAACACATATGTGGCAAGAGCTCCAGTAGGATCTGCTCTCTCTGGTGCACACTGGTTTTAAAGCAAATGGAAAATATAATCTTCAATCTTCATTTTAAGCTTTTCATGGATATTTGACTGTAAAGAGCAGTTTGTCACCCCTCTCAATACTAGACCTGTAAAAAAATGCATGAACATAAATCTAGAATGAAAGCAATATTAAGTGAAATACACTAGTTTTGATAGAATGTATCCAGTCACAAAGAAAAATACAAAAACAATGTAAATCATACAATATTTTATTAATATTCACAATTATTAACAGATACCAAAGACCATTATTCACAACTTCAGTGATGTCCATGCATCTCAGGAAGTGGAGGAATAACTTCACCGGTCTCCATGACCGTGTCACCCTGGAGTAGAAAGACAAGAAAAAAAAAAAAAGATAAGTCAGTGTTACATATTTATTGCAATGGGTATTATGAACATAATGTAATTTACTTACAGGAAAGAGTTTTGGCTTCAGTTCAACAATACCGTATGGCCTGTTCTGCAGAAGACACACAACAAATGTGATTATTTTATCTGTAAGTATGCAATATACAGTTATGGATAAAAAAAACAATAAATTGAGTATTTTGGTACAAGGATGGAAAACTAATCCTAGATGGAAGAACAACATTTCAGGGTCAGACTGAGGTGGGTTATTTGAATATGTGCTAACAAGTAAAGGGCTCAAGACACCTTCTAGGCAGCTACAATATATAATACAACATTTTGTGAATTGGCCAAGGATCCATGAAAATGAAAAAGGCCAAACTCATAAAAAGGTTAAAAGTAAACATGTATTTGTTTGGAATTCAAACTCATTGTCAACTAAGTAGGCGCGTCCTCAGCTGACAGGGGACATACAGCTTTCACTAAATTCAGATTGTATGGAGAGTTTAGTGTCCCTTGCCATCCTGAACTTATTTTCTTTTGCAATCTGGTTTAAAAAAAATACACACTTAAGTGCAACAAACTGTACTAGCACTCTACTCCCACTCTAGCTTTGCTCTTATCAGCTGCGTTCTGATTGGTTGATTTGCTCACATGTTCCTCTGTGCACGAGCATGAGAGCACATGAGCGAGCTCCGCTGTACAAGGTCAGCTCTTATTGGTCAGAACTCTCACATGCTGCTCTGGTCCAGCATAAGTAGAACCACTGTGCACCTACTGTGCAAGACCAGGAGAACCAGAGCTAGCCACAAGGAGTCATTTACGCTAATGTTTGAACATCCATGGTGCGATTATGACCGAATGAGCACAGGCCATTGTTTTGAATGGACAAACATTTTTGAGACCCAGGGCTTTGCTGAAACTCCTGTTTCTAGGCTAGTCTGGAAATACTCCTGCTGCTGTGGCGATCAAATCATTTCAAACTGCAAAACAAATATTATAAGAAATAAACACTTGTGATATTCACTGTGTGTTAGTAAGGCAACCTTTAGGCAGCAAAGTAGCATAAGTATGACATCTAAATCCAGGAACACATGTATACAGAGACCTGGCTACCCACACATTTTTTTGTCCCTCTTTTACTTTTATGTAGTTCTCATACTGATTTTAGTAGCTTGTGATCAATTTGTTATAAAAGTTTCCAGGCTCCACTTTTTGTGTGTTTAACATCTCTCTGCGTTCCTTTTCGCTCTTTATCACTACTTCTTTTCCTGTGATTTGAATCGTGTTTGCCGTCATCCTAAAGTACTTCCAAGTGCCTGGTTTTATGTTTTCGCTTTCCGTGATGAGATTTTCTCTTCACTGAAGGTGATCTGCTCCTAGAATAGCTTCTTGATTTTGAGCGCCCCCGATCCTGCCGAGTTTTGTTCAGAGGGACGAATTGATGACTATTGGCAATCATGAGTTTAAGCCAGGGCAGCTGTGGCCACACATTATGAGCGTACTGTAGCGGTATGTCTTGGACGTGTGGACGTGGAAATGGATGAATAAGAAACTTACTGCAAGATGGTATTTGACATAATAGTGAACAACCCAAGCTGGTATAAGAAGTCGTGTTAGGGTAAATACCCCTCCTCTGTAAGCCTTGTACGTCTGCAACAAAAAACACAAAATCACTATCACAATTATCTACATTTACATAATCAAACCCATTTATGTGAGACTCACATATCATGAGGTTGATTCATTTTCTTTGTATTTCTCTTTACTTCTTTTCTATACGAATATGTAAGTCGTATAAGATCATTTAGTGTCATTAGTAAAGATTAATATACAACAACATTACACTGTATCTCTGTAGCAGTGATCACATTTCTAAAATAGATGAATATCCAGGAATTCAATATATTAAAGATAACATGAATAAAATTAGTATTGCACTAGGAAATTGGGTAAGGGCAAGTTGGCTTGTTCTGGGGTGAAATACCAAGATTTTAGAGAGTTCCCATGATGTTTCAGAAGACATGAATATGCTCCAGTGCTAGCATCAGTTAGCATAGAACATTAGACACTCCAAATGAGCTATCGCAAATCAGGTCAGGTCACAGTCTTGAATAACATTTTTCCCATTAAACGTAAAACGATATATGAAACAACGTCACTCACGTAGATCCTCCACAAGCTCTTGGGCTCCAGAAAGCCAGCCCAGAACTTGGCGACGGCGCTCGGAGGCTTGGCTTGTATGACCGGCTCCCTCGGGCTCAGCTCCTGGTCCTTTAACCACTGCCTCCGGAGCTTTATGAGCTGATCCAAACGGAGCTTTTCATCCGGCGTGTACCCAGTCATTTTATTTTCTTAGAATTCAACCTCCAAGATCTACAATGACACCATGGAGGACAACAACAGAGCACGGGCCCGCTTCACCAGCACAAACTGTCACAGCGCCCTCTACTGCATAGGTTAATACTTGCACGCATTTATCCTGTTCACTGAAAACAAATATTTCTGCATTGTATTTTACCCCATGTATTCACTGGGTGTGTGTTTACAAAATTTGAGTTTCATTATACTGTCAACTACGCTCTTGCTGCAGGTTTTATGTTTTAGTATTGTGAAAATAAACACGGAAGTGACGTCACTGTACCGGAGCTCTGTCAGTTCCGTCAGTCGGTCAAAATGCTCGTAAACATAAACTTATTCTACATCGACGATTGACTTTTAACCACTGCAATCTAAATGTGAGGTTCACACTATTGACTCGGATCCACTGCTTCTTACAGATTTGGGTAATTTTATTTTCTCTTCTTGTTGCGTCATTTTTTTACTGCGCTATAACAGGCAAGTGAAGGCTAGTTATTCAATTGCAGAGTCCTGGATAGTCTAATCTCTATGCCACAGCTATTGGCACATTTCTCACTCAAAGCTGGGGTACATGACTTATTGTGTTTCGTACATTATGCATTTTGATTGTTTGAACGGAAAGAGTTTTGATAATATACAATTTTCGTAGGAATTCAGACCACTACAAGTTGTCTTCATCTAATTAGAAAACATGTTTTGTTGCATACGTGAAAGAGACAGATATGATTGATCCTCTCTTTTTTCACGTTTCTGTCTGATGTTGATCAAAAGATGTGATGCCAACACACATGCATATGAATAATACTGATGGAACCAAACTATTTTAGACCCAGGAATTGGTTAGATTGATTTGATTTACATTGTTAATTTTGTTGTGATCTGAAGGTTCAATTGTGTTATAGCATAAAACACTGTTATTACACAGCAGCTTTGTGATACAGCTACAATATAGACTTACTGGCAGTAGGATTACAATTATAACAAACCACGTGACGCAATAACCAGTAAGTACAAACTAAACATGTTCATTATATTATTTTTGCTGTGTAGAGAGCTGAGCAGCAGATTGTGGATGGAGCCCATGCAAGAGCCTTCTTCTCCGTCACAAACAGGAGGTGTTACCTTCCTTCTGCTTCCTCCACATCAGAAACATGGTCAAGTATTTCTGTAGCTATAGCGACATCAAGAGCACGTGGGATCTGGTGGCCTCTGCTTTTTGGCAGAGATATCCCAATCCTTTCAGGTAACTCATAAGAATGACTCTTGCAACTCTTGTCTTCTGTGAACTGATAGAGATGGGTCAAGATCTGAAACAGACCGTTGATACAGATACCGCTGTCAGACTGTACAATAAGTCACTTTAAGTCACTAATGCACTAGGACTGAAAAACCTGCACTACTATTGCCACTGTTTCTATAATTGCCACTTTTAATTGTACATAATATATCCTGAACAGGGGGTGACAGTGGCTCAGTTGGTAGAGCATTGGCCTTTGAGCCTGACGGTCGTGGGTTCGAGCCCACCATGAAACCTTCTCCACCAACTCCCACTGATGACTGCTGTCGTTGTGTCCTTGGGCAAGATACTTAACCCCACTTTGCCTGAAGACCCCGCTGAAAGATCAAGGCTATGCTCACACTTACAGAGCAGCCATCCTCCTGTGGACTCACCACCTGCAGAGGGTCAGTGAGGAGTTGGTGCTATGAGACTTGGGTGGCATCACTGATTGCCACCCCCCTGACCCAGAAATGGTTAAGGGGTAGAAAATGGATGGATGGATGGATATCCTGAACAGACTATATTTTTTGCCTTTAAAAAGTTTGCAGACTTCTGTCTTTGCACAAACTGAGTGATTCTATCCATGCCAAATGTGAGATGTAAATTTCTCCAATGTGAGATCAATAACGTCTTATCTTATCTTAAACATTATGCATGCATAATAATTAGATAAAAGAAAATAATACCTGAGGAGGAAACGGCTCAATTTATTAAAGGTGGATTACCCTAATGTTTTATTAATTAATATATTTTGTTTGTTCCAACATAAAGAGTCTTGTTTTAATTTTGATATGAACAAATCAAACCAGAGCATGCTGTCTTTATCTTAATAGAACACATTTGAACTTTTACATAGTGAGAGCTGACTCCCTTTTTCACAGTGAAATGTAGTCTAAAGGTGAGACTGAGGCCAAAATACATCCATGTGAAAAGTAGTGATAGAGCCAAACAGTTTTGAGAGCAATGAACTACGTTGTTTTATTGTGGTTTCACAGTTCATTCATTCATGATGTTTCTATGCCTAGTGCTACTGTGCACGCGTCAGTATAGTTTACTGTTAAACTTGTGTTTTTTGTCATATCTTCAGCACCCACGTCCTGACGGAGGATGTGGTATATCGGGAGGTGACAGCGGACCACCGGCTCCTCACCAGACGTCTGCTGATGAAGACCAATCGCCTGCCTCGCTGGGCAGAGTGCTTGTTCCCCTCTGGCATATCTCGCTCCGTCTACATTGTGGAGGACTCGGTTGTGGACCCTGTCAACAGGAGCCTGACCACATACACATGGAACCTGAACCACACCACTCTCATGGTAGAAGCCTTTGTGATTTGTGATCTGTGATTTCTAAAAGGGGATTAATAAACACATTTATTATCACCACTCCCTGATATAACTGTGAATTTGAGCTGGCTCTGAGCCCAGTTTAGTCCTGGTACATAAACGCTTGGAACACATTCTGGACCCTGAACTTTAATCTATTGTAGTGGAGGTATTTTGCTACTTGCAGTGCCTTGCGAAAGTTTTCGGCCCCCTTGAACCTTTCAACATTTCGCCACATTTCAGGCTTCAAACATAAAGATATAAAAAATAATTTTTTGGTCAAGAATCAACAAGTGGGACACAATCGTGAAGTGGAACGAAATTTATTGGATAATTTAAACTTTTTTAACAAATAAACTGAAAAGTGGGGCGTGCAATATTATTCGGCCCCCTTGCACTAATACTTTGTAGCGCCACCTTTTGCTGCAATTACAGCTGCAAGTCGCTTGGGGTATGTCTCTATCAGTTTTGCACATCGAGAGACTGGAATTCTTGCCCATTCTTCCTTGCAAAACTGCTCGAGCTCAGTGGGGTTGGATGGAGAGCGTTTGTGAACAGCAGTGTTCAGCTCTTTCCACAGATTCTCGATTGGATTCAGGTCTGGACTTTGACTTGGCCATTCTAACACCTGGATACGTCTATTTGTGAACCATTCCATTGTAGATTTGGCTTTATGTTTTGGATCATTGTCCTGTTGGAAGATAAATCTCTGTCCCAGTCTCAGGTCTTTTGCAGACTCCAACAGGTTTTCTTCCAGAATGGTCCTGTATTTGGCTCCATCCATCTTCCCATCAATTTTAGCCATCTTCCCTGTCCCTGCTGAAGAAAAGCAGGCCCAAACCATGATGCTGCCACCACCATGTTTGACAGTGGGGATGGTGTGTTCAGGGTGATGAGCTGTGTTGCTTTTACGCCAAACATATCGTTTTGCATTGTGGCCAAAAAGTTCGATTTTGGTTTCATCTGACCAGAGCACCTTCTTCCACATGTTTGGTGTGTCTCCCAGGTGGCTTGTGGCAAACTTTAAACGAGACTTTTTATGGATATCTTTGAGAAATGGCTTTCTTCTTGCCACTCTTCCATAAAGGCCAGATTTGTGCAGTGCACAATGATTGTTGTCCTATGGACAGACTCTCCCACCTCAGCTGTAGTTATCTGCAGTTCATCCAGAGTGATCATGGGCCTCTTGGCTGCATCTCTGATCAGTCTTCTCCTTGTTTGAGATGAAAGTTTGGAGGGACGGCCGGGTCTTGGTAGATTTGCAGTGGTCTGATACTCCTTCCATTTCAATATAATTGCTTGCACAGTGCTCCTTGAGATGTTTAAAGCTTGGGAAATCTTTTTGTATCCAAATCCGGCTTTAAACTTCTCCACAACAGTATCTCGGACCTGCCTGGTGTGTTTCTTTGTCTTCATGGTTCTCTCTGCGCTTTAAACAGAACCCTGAGACTATCAAAGAGCAGGTGCATTTATACGGAGACTTGATTACACACAGGTGCATTCTATTTATCATCATCAGTCATTTAGGACAACATTGGATCATTCAAAGATCCTCACTGAACTTCTGGACTGAGTTTGCTGCACTGAAAGGAGAGGGGCCGAATAATATTGCACGCCCCACTTTTCAGTTTTTTATTTGTTAAAAAAGTTTAAATTATCCAATAAATTTCGTTCCACTTCATGATTGTGTCCCGCTTTTAAAAAAAATTAAAATTGTATATCTTTATGTTTGAAGCCTGAAATGTGGCGAAATGTTGAAAGGTTCAAGGGGGCCGAATACTTTCGCAAGGCACTGTATTTCACACAAAGCACTTTTAAGTGCAGTTAAATCAGGGGTATCTATTTTTTTCATAAATTGTACATGCTGTTCTTCCCAACAAAAAGAATCTTGTAAAAGTAAAATATTGTGAAGAATCATCCTATTAGAAAACATATTTTACAGCCTGGTGAGTCACAATTTGACTCTTTGGGCTAAGGTTTGATTTGTTTATTGAGGGCGGTCCTCCATGGTTCACATTTATGTCTGAAAAAGCTGATCTACAGATCCAAAAACACTTTAATAGAACCAAATTGAGCGAGGAACTATTGGTACATAGTTATGTGCATTTATGACATAGTTAAATCTTTTGTGGTTTGAAATTGAGGTACCCTTGCTTTAAATGTAAGAACAATACATGTGACAAATAATGACAAAAAATAATATATATATATATATATATATATATATATATATATATATATATATATATAAAAACACTATGGATTTAGCTAAATTTAAGAATTGAAATATTTACTGCTTTGAATAGCTAGAAGCACTGAGGCTGAAAGATGAAAGAGTTGTCTGTGTAAATGTTGACTGTTGCTCTTTTCTTGCTTTTCTCACACATTTGAATTGAGACTGAGGACAAACCGGTTTTGTTTATTTTCTCAGTCAGTGGAAGAACGCTGCATCTTCACAGACTCTGAGGAGCAGCAGGCCACCACTCTGCTCAAACGAGAAGCCTGGGTTTCCTCAAGCATTTATGGCTTCTCCAGGCCGATCCAGGTAGTCTTCCCGGCTGTTGTCCATATACCTTTCATTTGAAGCACTTTCTTTCCATACGTACAGGTGACACTCTGACGTTTGGAATATTATAATATTGTTCAAAAGTTCATTTATTTCTGTATTTAGAATGTGAAACCAATATATGATACAGACTCAGTTCATGCAAAGTGACATATGCCAAGCCTTTGTTTGTTAAAATGTTAATGATTATTGCTTACTGACCATTTTCTAGTGTTTTAGTTTGGGTTGTTACAGCTGTGAGGCAATTATCAATGTTATAACAAATAAAGGCGTGGTCTATCTCACTTTGTATGGAATGAGTCTGTCAATGGACTTTTGAACAATATTCTAATTAATAGAGTTTCACCTGTAGGTTAATACATCTTTCATTTTCTGGTGTTCTCCATACAAAATGTTTAATTTTACTTTATGCAGGAATTTGGATTGGCTCGCTTCAAGAGTAACCAGGGAAAGGCGATGAAAGGGCTGGAATATGCACTGTCTAATTTACAAGGTATGTGCTGTATGTAGTCTCATCAGAAACAAACCATATTCTTGAAATATTAGCAGTACTATATTTTTAACTCAGTTTGGTTCATTTATAATTCATAGTTTATTATTATACTATACAATATGATGGATGGTTTGCAAAAACTCAAGGAGCTGATTAAGTGCTATTAGTGTGGATTAAATGCATAGTTGTAGAAGTGCCACAAAAGTACTCATAAAAGGAGTACTTTTCCTCATGGTGTGGGCAATGGCAGTTATTCAAACTTGAGCCAGGAATTACCCAAATACAGACAGTTTATCAAATGCCCGACCAGAGAGGAGAACACTCTGGATCACTGTTACACCACCGTGCGCGGAGCTTTTCGCGCTGTTCCCAAGCCAGCCCTCGGCTTCTCAGATCACTCCATGATACATCTGGTTCCTGCTTACAGACAGAGACTAAAGCTCTCGAAACCTGCAGTGAGGAGCTCCAAAGTGTGGTCTGATGAAGCTGTGGAAGAGCTGCGCGCATGCATGGAATCTACAGACTGGGACCTTTTCAGAGCTGCCACAGACAGCTTGGATGAATATACGGACACTGTGACGTCATACATCCACTTCTGTGAGGATAGCATCATTCCAACAAGGACCAGGGTCATCTATAACAACGACAAACCCTGGTTCACTGCTAAACTCCGGCAGCTCAGGAAAGCAAAGGAGTCTGCTTTCAGGGAGGGGGACCGCAGCGGCTACAAAGCGGCTAAATATCAGTTCAGGAAAGAACTGAAAGCAGCCAAGTCCCGGCACAGAGAACGACTACAGGAGCAGTTTGGTAACAACGATACTGCTTCTGTCTGGAAGGGGCCTACGGGAGATCACCAACTACAAACCCAAAGCCCCCCCCTGTGCTGATGACCACAAGCTAGCTGACGATCTGAACTTATTTTTCAGTCGCTTTGATGCTGCCCCTGACACCTCTCCCTCCCCCACCCCCCACTACTCTAACGACCCACCCATCAGCCCTGCCCCCAGCCTAACAATAGCCGCTAAAGAGATTAAACAACTCTTCCTGAGGCTGCACCCCCGCAAAGCTCCTGGCCCGGACCACGTGTCTCCGGCCACTCTGAGACACTGCGCCAGTGAGCTTACTCCTGTGTTCACGGACATTTTCAACTCCTCTCTGCAGTCCTGCCATGTCCCGGCCTGCTTCAAATCCTCCATCATTGTCCCCGTCCCGAAGAAGCCCAGGATCACAGGACTCAATGACTACAGACCTGTAGCACTTACGTCTGTCGTCATGAAGTCATTTGAACGCCTGGTTCTCTCCCATCTCAAGTCCCTCACCTCCCCCCTCCTGGACCCACTGCAGTTCGCCTACAGAGCCAACAGATCTGTAGACGACGCCATCAACCTGGCCCTCCACCACATCCTACAGCACCTGGACTCCCCGGGGACCTACGCCAGGGTCCTGTTCGTGGACTTCAGCTCTGCCTTCAACACAATCCTGCCATCCCTGCTCCAGGACAAGCTCTCCCAGCTCAACGTGCCCGATTCCACCTGCAGGTGGATCACTGACTTCCTGACGGACAGGAAGCAGCGAGTGCGTCTGGGGAAGAATGTCTCGGACTCTCGGATTATAAATACAGGAGCCCCACAGGGCTGTGTTCTTTCTCCCCTGCTCTTCTCCCTGTACACCAACCACTGCACCTCCAGCCACGACTCCGTGAAGCTGATCAAGTTCGCGGACGACACCACCCTCATTGGACTCATCTCCAACAACGATGAGTCCGCCTACAGGAGGGAGGTGGACCGGCTGGTGTCCTGGTGCAGTGGTAACAACCTGGAGCTGAACGCCCAGAAGACAGTGGAGATGATTGTGGACTTCAGGAAGAGCACTGTCCCCCCGCCCCCACCCTCCGTGATGGACTCCCCCATCACCTCTGTGGAGTCCTTCCGTTTCCTGGGCACCACCATCACCCAGGACCTCAAGTGGGAGCCGACCATCAGCTCCCTCATCAAGAAGGCCCAGCAGAGGATGTACTTCCTGCGGCAGCTCAGGAAAGCCAAGCTGCCTGCACAGATGTTGGTGCAGTTCTACACGGCCATCATCGAGTCCATCCTCACCTCCTCCATCACTGTGTGGTTCGCTGGAGCCACAGTCAGGGACAAACAGAGACTACAGCGCATTGTGCGCTCTGCAGAGGAAGTGATCGGCCGCAGCCTTCCATCGCTGCAGGACCTGTACGTCGCCCGAGCTCGAGGCCGGGCTGGTCGTATCACAGCCGACCCCTCTCACCCTGCACATGGACTATTCCAACCACTCCCCTCAGGCAGGAGGCTGCGGTCCATCAGGACTAGAACCTCCCGCCACAAGAACAGTTTCTTCCCCTCTGCTGTTGGACTCTTGAACACTTCTTAACCTGTCCCCCCGCCCTTTATAAAGTCACTTTACTGCCCATCATACGTCACTTTACTTCACTGTACTGCTGTCACCTTACATTGTGTGCACCATGTGCACTTGTATATTGTAAATAGTAACTGTAACTCTATTTTAAATTTAAATTTATTCTTTAGAAGTGTTTTTTATTCTTATTTTTATTATCTCTTTTTGACTGTTGCACTGAGCCAAAGCAATTTCCAAGTCTGTGACCTCCCGTTACTTACGTTGGCAATAAAAATGATTCTGATTCTGATTCTGATTCTGATTCAAGAGTAGACTTTTTTAAGCTGAAGCTTTAACTGAAAGGTGAAAGTTCTGAAAATGAGCCAGGAGGGCAGGTCTAGATTTGGGCTCTCCTGAAAAGAACACAAGACTGGACTTAGCTGTGCAGGGACAAATACAAATTAGACACATGTGAAATTCATGGCATTTGGAACATTACAAAGCTATTTAACCACCAACAAATACATGTCTGTAATGTCCAGCTGTTTCACGATATAAGAACTAGATAATTCCATAATTAACAGGGGCCTGCTGCATGGGCTGTTGTTGCTGTGTTGTGTAAAAGGACTTTGTCGCATGTTGATTGTGTCTCTGTGTGGACGGCACGCAGGCATCAGGCTGAGTGTCGGGGTAAGTGTGTTAGCTCCCCTTACTCCGGATGTCCCATGATGCTTCATATATAGACTCCTCCCCTGTTTGTGCAGACATAGCTACGCCTAGTTAATTAGCTAACCATGCTAACTAGATTAGACAATTTTAATCAAAGTTGTTGTTTTTTTTAGCACTTGTTTATCTAGGAATGGATTATGGACAGTGGCTCAGTTGGTAGAGCATTGGCCTTAGAGCCTGAAGGTCGTGGGTTCGAGCCCACCATGAGACCTACTTCACGACGCCCACTGATGACTGCTGTCGTTGTGTCCTTGGGCAAGACACTTAACCCCACTTTGCCCAAAGCCCCCGCTGGAAGATCTCAGCTCCTGTGGACTCACCACCTGCAGGAGGATCAGTGAGGGGCTGGTGCTATGTGTACTGGGTGGCATCTCTGGCCACCCCCCCAACCCAGAAATGGATTAAGGGGAAGAAAATGGATGGATGGATTATCTTTTTTTTTAAGAGTGTACTTGTTCCACTCACAATCCGCCTTAAATATACAGTAATGTAGAATTTGCTTTTGTCATTACTGGGGAATACTGGTATGTGATATAATTGCAGTACTATTATATGGTTAATCTGTTTTTACTTTCAGAATAAATTAACGTTAAAAAGATTTTGAACAAAATTCTCTTTTTAGTCCTGTCATTGTTGGTATATGTTCTTATCTGGACATATGCCGACTTTAGGGCCTTCTCTAGGTCCTCAAAGCACAGGGACAGGTTAGCCACCGAAAACCACTCCCACAATAATTGGAACACACTATCCAGATCCGGAATATTAAAGTCGAATTACCAAAGTATTTTCTGTGACACAAGTTGTTCATGTGTGAGACCTGTGTGTGGGGCCATAGTCTGCATTAAGATGTAGTGTATTGCTAGCTTGTCCTCTCTCAAAATTAGCATGAAATGGACATTCCAGAAAAGTTTTTTTTTCCACTGTTGATCATAAATGTAATGAAAAGGCAAATATGAAAGTTACTATTTCATATCAATGTACAATGTCCGTCTTTTTTATAAGAGCACTAAAATACACAAGCTGTAGAAACGTGTTGAGCCTCTGCTTAGAAGCCCACGTGGAGCTTGGCTGGTGTGTGCATGTGCAGTGTGACATGTGACGCACTCTCACATCATGTTTGCCACACAGGAGAGGCGTCCCAGCGGCTGCTCCGGGGCTCCGTGAAGGACACGTCGGCCAAAACTCTGACCACTACAGCCGCCCCCCAGAAGCCGCCGCAATACGTCTGACACCCCGGCCTCACAAAAGGGGGGTACGGGCCCACAGACTGGACTGTGGACTGGACTGTGGGCTGGACTAGACTGAGCGGGATCTTCACAAATGCTGCTGTTCCTCTCGTCTTTAAGCTTGAATCTCAGGACAGAAGCTTTTGTATGAAATCTTTTGCCTTTTGAACGTTGTGTCTTTGATAAACTCGCTGGAAAACGCACACGGTACACAGATGAAGTCATATGAAGACAATGAAATGCAAAAACTCTCATAAAAAAGATAAAAATGACCCTGAGATACAGTGCTCACATTGTTCCTCATGCTTGCCCTTATTTTGAAATATATTTGCATGGGTCAAAGGCACTAATGCAAACTGTTAATCGAGGTAAAGAAACCACAAGGAAGCTAGTCGGGATTTGAAATGCACTGTAATGTTTAAAAACATGAGAGATATTTTTATGAAGCAGAAATTCATTCTATAATTGAATTCAACGTTATTTTCATTCACCATTTATGCAAACCATTTATTTGTTCATTTTTTAGCATCTTTATTAGTTATATTTTGTGACTTATGCTCTGGTTTTTATGGGAGGGAATTGGTTTTCCACTGCACATTTTCAGAGAATATCTTTTTTGTGCTGTTTGTACCAAAGTGACTTGAGCGTCCTGAAGTTTTCAAGCCTGTGATGATTGTTCTACTTCGTTTTAATTTATTTCAGCTACATTCCAATATGAGTACAACTTATTTTCTGCTAGACTTGAATAGTGTTTAATATGGTGAGCGGACAATAGGGAATTGAAGTAAGTTATTTTTGATTTTTCAAATGTGATGCTTTTGGGTTTGTTTGAATAAAACATATAGAATTTTATTTGGTTCTATTATCATTGTGATCTCATTTGTTTACGTCTGGTCCCAACAGAAAGTGTCTTGTAATAAAATGTCATAATTTGTAAAGGCGATGCTTTGGGCTGAGCGAGGATGGTCCGCTCTTTTTCATTTTTCTGTCTGAAAAAGCTGATGTAAATATGTGACAGATGCCAAAAATACATGCATGTGAAATCTAGCGAGTTCTATTTTTGGTGGTGAAAGTAAGGTACCCCAGCTTTAATTAGAATATTATTTTTCAACACTTTTATATACTTATTTATTTATTGTTTATTTTGTTGGGACAGTACATGTTAATGAACACATCACTCCAGATTGTAGCTATCGTAGGCTAATTTCCATCCGTTGTCCCACATTCGCACTCACAAACACACACTCATTCACCGTGAACTATTGCACATGTTTTTAGTGGTAGGGGAAACCGGAGTACCCGGAGGAAACCTACGCAGACACGGGGAGAACATGCGAACTCCACTCAGAAAGGCCCTGTTCCGACCAGAATTCGAACCCAAAACCTTCTTGCTGAGAGGCAAGAGTGCTATCCACTCAGCCACCGTGCCGCCCTACGCTTTATCCTCCTTGACATACAGTCAAATAAATATCCCGATGCACACATTTAATACTTTCTGACAATAACAACACCAGCACATGTTTTATGTATAAAACATTTTTAATGACTTTACAATGAGAGTATACACCATACCTTCAAGTGTTTGCTATTGTGTAGCCAGCACCAGGTACTCGTGTAGACACATTCACACAAAATAACACAAAAGGAACTTATATAGCATCTTCAGAATGCATATAAGACTTCCACTAGAGTAGGAAACATGTTCACAGGTCTCTGGCACAGAACTCTCCCTCTGCTTTGCACAGTGCGATGGCCTGAGCCTCTCCCTCCTCCCTGACAACTATGATCCTTGTACTGGCGTAATATGCAGCAAGAGTCGACAAATACTGGAGAAAGCCATTTGAACACGGGTGGTAGCAACTTTCAGTTTAAAGCAAAGTGGAATTACATAGAAAGAAGCGTGTCTATTTGGCATAGTATCTAGATTCCTTGGAATAGGTAAGGATGAAGCTTGGAAAGGTGTATCTGAAAATCAATAGCATGGGCATATGACATTATGTTTACTGTATTCATCCTTAATATATAATACACATTAAATTATAGAATGCTGGGGTACGTAACTTCTCTGTATTTATAATAGTACATTTTATTGGTTTTAACAGAAGGAATATTCTAAAAGAACAAATCAGACCGCAATATGTTATCTAATATACATGACAGAATTCATTTGCATGAAAATAAATCTTGTTAATCGCTATTTGCCGCTTTGGGCTAAGAGCTTTTTGGCTGAGTGGGGGAGGCAATCTTTTTTTCACAATTCTGTCAGACAGAGCTGAACAAAAGATGTGGCTGTGATGTAGGTGAATAATAGTGATTGAACCACACTGGATTTTATTACATTACAGTAAAGTTTTGTACCCCAGCTTTAACATGTTATATTTGTACGTGTCTATGATTATAATGTACATGTGTTGAATATATTATGGACAGCATGACATGATACTGAGCTGGCAACTGTTCAGCATAGTTGAACTAGTCTGTAATTGTGTGTGTTGCTTTTACTGCATCCTCCTGGACTCTAGTGTGCTTCAAAAACATTCTGGATAAAATCTCTTTGCAACTTGACAGCTAAAACCATCTTCTAAGGGCACTCTTGTATCCTTTGCTTTCATCTAGAAAAAAAAAAAAAAAACCTTTGGAAAAACCCAGTGAAGATGTATCTTGGCGTAATGGTTACAGTAATAATGGCGCCAGTGGCCTCTAAAAGAGCTATAACAGTCATAATAATGAATACAATCTCTACTTCTTGTTTTTTTTAAGAAAATAACTTTAACCAAGGCACACCATCAGAACTATCCATCAAGCTTTGGAACCCTGCGTTGCCTTATCCACAATGCATAAACAAAGCGTAAAGTGTGCTATGTTATTTTCAATGATCCCACTGAACAATTATAATCTCATTTCTGGCCCTCGACAATTCATTCGGTCCGACTTTAACTTTTCTCGTGGGGAGGTTCTGTGCAAGAGAATCATCATTCGCCATTCAAATTGTTATTCAAATCTGAAAAGGACATAGTTTTTGCTACAACAGTCATGTACAACCTCTGGACATGAATGTAAACTCGCATGACAAAACAGCTTTTCAATTAACCAACATGTTTTTTGCCCTCCTGCAGTGTATGGAGAGAGTGCAGTTAGGAGGTAAAAAAAAATTAAAATAACATTAAAAGTTGGTCACCAAAATGCACCACAGAGTCAGAAAGCAAAACCAGCTTGTCTTGTCAAAATACCCACCCATCCCTCCATTGAAAGCACACAATGGTAATATTGCTGTGTCTTCAGGGGTGTAACAATTTTGGGGGACGGACCACTGGGAGGGCGGCGATAACACCTTAAGCTGCCATGGATTGGATTTTATTTTATTTTATCGCTCCTCTCCCAGTGGGTTCCAAACAAATAGGTCGACAAATGTGGTATCGGCAAAACATAGGATGACCGGGAATAGCACACTACGGAGCTTCAAGCCTCGGTAAAAGTTTGGGTCCCCGGTGGTGATGGTGGAGGGGGCGAGTGGAAGCTGCCATGGGAGATTACCAGTGTGTGTGTGTTTTTGGATCAGGTCAGTGTCTCATTTCAAACCTCCAATATTCAACTGAGAATCAAACAGTGAAATTACTCGAGACAAAAAAAAAAATCACCAAGGCTCTGCTCTGCATTATTCTGCTGTTCATAAGTTCACATTTGTAAGACCCGAAAGAGCGTATGACAGGATTTTTCACAAAACAAGTCAATATATTAATGTCGCTAATTGTTAGGGCTATCTGTATTAGCTAGTGTAGTTGACCTCTATCGGTTGACGACTCATTAGTTGACCAAATTGTGGCTTAATCAACTTTTTTTATTTCACTTACAAGAATGAAAACATGGTGGAAGATTTTGGTATGAACTTTTTAGTAGGCCAAATTATGTAAAGTATGAAAATGGTGGCTGCTTTGGAAGTATTGCAGTAATTATAACTGTTTTATCATTGGATACAACTTGAATGATTTAGTTAATTTAATTGGTGATATTTTGTTTCATTATTAATTGATAAAAAGTGATTGTGTTTAATCCAAGACCAAGAATTTCTTTGGCCGACTACTGCCCTTCCTACTATATAGTTTTATCCATTTACTTCCTGGTTGTGATTGATGACATCACACTCAGGATGTCATCAATCACAAGCAACTATGTGATAAACATTTAAAAAAATATCATGTTTATGTAGTCCTGTGAATCGTGAAAGTTTGATCAAAATGTGTTTGTTGTTTCATAAAGTTTGGGACGAGTCCAGTCTTTCTCATGTGATGTCCTTGGTTCTAGCAGGATACTTACTTCCTCTAAAGAACAGAATTTCCCATTTGTCTTCACAATCTGTGAATAATTTTTCATCTAAAACTATCATCTATATTTCAGGCAGCTGCCGTTCCACCAAAATAATTCAAAATGATACAGCGACAAAAATCCAAACCCTGTCATACGCACTTGAAGTTGTCTGATTACCAGCTGAATATGAAGTATAGGAATAATACACAGCAAAAGTAATGTAGCGCCATAGGTTCGTCTGTTCACACTGCCTCTTCGTTGGTTAAAGTCTTTTGGCGTGGTGAGAGGGAATGGACACGTTCAGCCCGTTCGGAGCAGGACGACATAGTTGGGGGAGGGGGGGGGGGGGAGTGTTACTGGGAGCCGGCCTGAGTAGGGGGGACAGGTGAAGAAGATGAGGAGGTGGAGGAAGGCTCACCAAGGCACAGAGTGACAGCAGGAGTGTCGCCCTTCAGCAAGCCTGGCCTCCTGTCCGTCTGTCTCTTATATATAGATTTATATAGATAGAGATATACAGATATACTCACTCTTTTTTGTCTTTTCAATACAAGAACATTTAGGAAAATATAATACAAAATTTAATACAAGAAATATAGACTACACTGGCTAGAATCACTTTTCGTAAGCAACTCGTTTTCTTGTCTTTTGAGTCTTTTGTAGATTTTTTTTTTTTTGTGCAGACCTGCCATGCGGGACTGGCTCCTTTTTCCATTTATTGGATTGCCAAGCTCTAAAGACTTTGAGAGACAGAGTCCAAACAAAGGATAACTGGTCAGAGAGCGACAGAGCGCCTCCTCCGTCGATAGTGACTATTGTGCATTGCAAGATCTACATTGGTCATCAGCAGTGCCCAGAAGCTCCAAGGAATAGCAGGTAGCGAAGGGTAAAGTTCCACTAGTTTTGTTACAGCATAAAACAACTGAAAATGATTAGTTTGGACTAAGCTAGCTAAAAGAGGAGAAATCGTTAGAGCTGGCTTCTTTTTGTCATTTTCATTATCTTTTTTTTAACACAGCTTTGACTTGATAACCGGAACACTTTTCACGCTCTGAAAATGTGTCAGCGCTGACTATAATTTAAAATCTTGGGATGGTCGCAAATCACTATACAAATACAAAGTTCAAAATAAAAAAAATCTCCCGTAACATCTCATGGTCCACCGGATTCACTCCCAGGAAGCCAGGCCTCCTGTGGTTATTGCTACATCAATTCGCTACTGAGAAGAAAAAAACACAAGGTTTCAATCATCTTTAGGTACGAGAGTTCTGCTGTGAGGCCACTCGTTTTTAGTGGACACAGGAGTGAGCCACACCATAGGGCAGTATGGTGTAGTGGTCAGTAGTGTGGATTAGTGGTCAGGCAACCCAACCAGAGGGAGATATGACAATTTGGACAGTCACTGTACATATTTACAATTGGATTTCACCGACAGCGCTGGCGCATTTTCAGTTTGGAGACAAGCGAGTTACGACGCAACTTTGTTAGGAAGACACACGTTCCAGGTCTTATAGTTGCACTTAGAAGAAGAAAAATAAGTGCTGCAACTATCATTCTTTCCCCAGACCTAGTGCAAAGCAAGTTTTCATCGCTTAAACTTAGATTACCAAGTCAAAGCTGTCACCGCACCGCAGACGTCCCCTTCAAAAGTCCTCTTGCTTTTCTCTCGGGGTCAGCTGTGGGCATCAGGAGGTGCAGGTCGAGGCAGGATACATCGGGGTGAGGTAGGGCGAGTGGTTAAGGGGGAGTGGGAGGGTTTAGGGAAGTGGCAGGGGAGCCTCTTGCACGTGCTTCCGGGTAAAGTAAAGTACCGCTGTGTTGTTGGGCCGGTCCTGACTGAGCAGAGGTGGGAGCAGGCTGGGGCATGACAGGGGGGCGGTGTTGGGGTGAGGATGGCAGCGATTGAAGGGGCGGTGGTCTAACAGTGGTGCGGCTGCAGTCTGTGGGAATGTGTGGCTGTGTAGCTGTCGCTGCTGGAGCTGCTCTGGAGGCTGTAGTGGTCCTCCTCCTCCTCCTCCTCCTCGACGTCGCTCACGCTGTCCCCGCTGTCCACCTCCACAGGGGTGAACTCCATGCCCTCGATGTCCACGTCTGCAAAAAGACAAGACACATCAGCTCCACATGGCAACGGATCAATCGAATGCAAAAAGAAACGGAAGAAATGGGACATCCTTAAAGCGTTCTTTATTGTCCTCCGATTGTTTTACTTTAGAACAACTTAAACCTGGAGTACCTTGCCACTAAAATGGAACCATGTCATAAATTCCATATTCTATAGTTCTGAGCCCTCAAGACAGTTTGGTTCCATCCTGAGTTTTCATATGCATGTGCTTTTGGCTTCTATCACGTCATCCACACAGAAAAGTAGCTCATTTGATACTTTATTTTAAAATAATTAACAAAAATGTGAATTATGTTAATGATGGTTTGCACGGCACGGTGGCTGAGTGGTTAGCACTCTCGCTTCTCAGCAGGGTCTGAATCCCGGTCGGAACAGAGCCTTTCTAAGTGGAGTTTGCATGTTCTCCCCGTGTCTGCGTTGGTTTCCTCCGGGTGCTCCGGTTTCCCCTACCACTAAAAACATGCACAATAGGTATGAATGTAATGAGTGAGTGAATGGAGGGTGTTGATTGGGGCTTTGATGCGCCAGTGTGTTCGGCGACTCGCTTCCATCATCACTGTGTGGAGAGAAAGGAAAAACTATCTGAACAATTGTAGAGCACTTTGGGTGACCTTGTTCTGTAAAATGCACTATACAAATAAACCTTACTTACTAAACATACAGGGATAAAACTGGGACCAGTCACAGGCAGCGTTCTGTCCCACCATTTTAATATACCTTAGATTCTTGGTGTGGAAATAGTCTATGTAAATTATAGGCCTGATGATCAACAAGTTGAATTTGTTTTTATTTTTGCTGTTCAACAGAACTAACCAACATTTTACAAAATTATTCACCAGTCACAAATTGAACTTTGAGTGCACCATTAGTTTAGCTAATTCTGCTGCATTCATAAACAAGGCCATGCATGCTAACTTCAGCCTGGATACTTATCGCAACACAGCTCATAGTTTTACATCTAAACACTGACTGCGTGTATACTATCTGTACCATTGTATGTATTTACTATCTGTGGATCATTTTAAGCTTTTGAGCTCAAATCAAACAGGGGAAAGCCCGTGCAAAATCACAACAGTAATAGCCACAAGAGGCTGATTTGCTATCGCTAATCTGTGGTCTTAGCTTTTGACCTCGGGCATGACTTACAAAGATGGGAGGGGCCAATCACCAGTGGGCTTTTCACTAGCAAACAGTATACAAGTGAAAACTATAAACAAGTGTCTATGTCTATGTCTATGAACTGTTTTTTAATGTTATTTCACCTGCTATTTGCTGCTGTGTGTGTTGAATATTGATTAAGAATTTTAAACGATAATTTATTGTTTGTTACATGATAATAACTGATATAACCACTGTATTGAAGGCTTTGGAGGTTAGTGAGTGTATGTAATTAGTAGAAAACTAGGTTAGTGGTTTACAACACTAATGTTGGGATAAATCATAAAACGTATTATTTATTAAACAAAAAAGTTGCAAGATTGTTATCGGTCAACATGCAATATCATTGTTCAGGTTCATTGATGTGCTGATAATAAAAACACATCAATGAAGAGTCTTTTTTGTTTGAAATCATCAATATTGTAAATCTGTTGTATAAAACCATCAAGGGAATTCAAATGGCACCTATAGACGTTGGTGGCCGTTGGACACAGTATGAAGACGCTTTTGTTTGTTGGTTCGACTGTTGAGCATTTGCATAAGGGGATGTACATTGAGTTTACATTAACCAGGGGTTTTCTACATCCTGACCACATCCAGGCCCCTATTCAGCGAGTGTGCGGAATTTAAACTTGCAAGTAAAAAAAAAAAAAAGGTTTCAGTTCAGTCTTTTCAATACTACATTGTTGTGCATTTGAGCAAAAGATTTGTATTTGAATCCAATTTCCAAGTAGCAATAAGGAAACAAATGTGTATAGGAAGTTGTGAGAACATGTGTGAGTGTTGTACCTGTAACCTCTTTTTCATTTGATATAGTATTGTTGAAATGGTCAGCTCCCAATGATGCTTCACTAGAATACACAGTACTTAATACTTGCTTCTTATTATGCCAAGGTAGATTTTTTAAGTTTTTGTACTGATGTTTTCTTAATATAGAGTTATTGTTCATTCATCTATCATTCCTACTGTTCTCTAACTGGTGATGCAACACTGACATTTCCCCACTGTGGGACGAAGAAAGGATCTCCTTAATCTAAAAATGTCATTTGCTCATACAGTCTTTGGTCGCACACACCTTGCTCAGAGTCGGTGGAGATGGTGGAGCCCATGCTGTCGGTGCGGACGCGCTCCACAGAGCCCGACACGGAGAGCTGCTCCAGGCGTCGTTTGAGGTAGCGGTGCTCGCGCTGCAGCTGCTCCTTCATGTTTAAAGCCTTCCTGTCGGCCTCCTCCAGCTTCTGCACACGCACACACCACAGGTCACTCTACTAAAGCATGGAATATACATATAAATGTATTCAATGCTCAGAGTGGAAATGTGCGGTAAATACACAGGTAAATCTCAGAAAATTATAACATTGTTCTAAAGTAACACCCATATGGGATTCAAGTGTATTAATATTAGTTTAAATCAAACAAATTACACATTATTCCTATCGTTTGTAAACTTTTTCTATTCTCTGCATTTCATGTTTACCTAAGGCCTGCAAGATTTGCAACCGTTGATTGGGTGTAGGATGCCATCTACTGGCACTAAAGGATTATAACCTGTTGATAAAACAAAAACTGCAGAAGTGATGCAAATTGTACAGGAGACATTCCACAAGTTTGAACATTTAGTTTTTCATTGAGACTCCAAACAAGATGGCCTCAAAAACTGGATGATAAATAAAATTGTTTAAAATGTGTCCTATTTGTTCAACCTTCTGTGATTGTTGATTTGATGTCGCACATTTAAGCTTCAAAACACTTCCATGTGTGAATTTAAATTGTAAGGATTTTGTGCTGAAGCAGAAAGTGCTGTGAGAAATGCAATATTGAGAAGTGCTGCACATTTCACGTAAGATAAACAGGAAATGAAGGGTTAAAACTGCTCGCCTTTGAATTTTCCGTAGACCACAGCTTGTGCAACATCAGCACAAAAGGTCTAATAATGTCCAGGGCTGCTTTGATATTTATTGAATATATTTAGTGCATGGATTATCCACTAAAGTTATCTAAAGTTTTTTTGTTATCCACTAAAAATGAAAATAAGTAAACCAACTGCATAAAAGTTTGGCCATTTCATAGGAATATCTTCAACATATTGTATACAGTCGAGAATATGCAAGATAGCATCGTTTTTTTCCTTAACCTCTGCAGTCTTTTCCTGCTGTCTAAACAAGAAAAACGCTTGGGTTACCTTGATGTGCATCTTGGCCCTTTTGAGGAGGCTCAGTGTGGTGTGCCGTGTGCTGTCTGGACCCAAAGGCACCAGCTTCTTCAGCTGTTCCAAGTACAGTCGTAGTTTGGCACGTCTGAAAATACAATCACACACAGAGATGAAGCTGGAGCAGACATTATGACATCATGGAGAACTGAATCCCATTCGCTTTGTTTGGACTTGAACAATAAAATGTGGCATGTTCAGAGTTGTAGTTCACCTTCTTGAGGTGAACACTTGTCTATCAGTATGCTCACTCCACAGTGAACATTTTCAATCAAAAAAGTACACACTGCTGCTTCAAAACACATTATTTAAGCCACATTAGAAATTAAGACCCACAAAGGATTCTCTTTCTGATTCTTTTCAAGACCTTTGTTGTTACTCTATGAGGAACAATGCATTTAGACCTTCTCAGTCATTTGTTTATTGAGAGGAGAGCAGATGGAGCACAGCATCATTCATTTTTCAATCTCTAAGACAAGTATCATGTCAGCTGAGCATTAATAATCCACAATTTGATTGTATAAAAGCTTTCTTTCATTCCCTGGTGTTTGTGCTGCATAAGTATGAGCGTGTTTAACACAGTGCAGTGTCTCCACAGGTGCACACAGGCGTTCCCAAAAAGGCCATGTGAAAGTGCTCTCTCTCTTTTATTTGCCTCTATCCCAGAGGGCAGTCTGCTCCCTGTGCTGACCACTGCACCCTCCACACTTCTGCCAAATGCAACACAGGCCTGTCCCACTGGAAACAAGTGTCCTGTGAGGACAGGGGCGGGGGCCACCTTCAACCTGCCGGCCACAACCACATGAAGCACTTGGCCAGTGTCCAGGGGAAGCAGAGCACAGGAAGAAGCTGGGGGTCTGCAGGGGGGGAGGAGGGGTGTTTTGGGGAAGGGAGTGGGCTCCTAGCTCTGATGACTTTCTCTTGAAAAATGGGGTCTTTGAGTGCAGTGTGCTCAGCTGCACCAGACAGTGCTACATACACATAATTCAAAAGTAACTTGAGCCAATGGGCATGCATCTGGCCCCCCATTTCCCTTCCTCGCTCACTCTTGTAATGAAAAACAAAAACAAGGCGTTTCCCAAATAAGCAGTAGTGAGCCTAAAACCTGCCGTTGCACCGACTCGATCATGACAGCCCCACCTGTGTGCTGCTGACCACATATTTTACCTCGTACTCAGGCTGACCACATGAGAGGAGAGAGCTGCACATTTCACATATCCACAACTGACACTTGTTTTCAATGCAGGCCAAATCAAAAGCAGACATAAAGCTGTGTACAGGAAAACCAACCTCTGTTCCAATACAAAAGGCTTTTGAGGTCAATGTACTGAGTATACAGACATACAGAAGATGCTTTTATCTACACCAGTTATGTAACCCATTTTACATTCTCATTACACATTACACATGTTCAGAGAATGTATTAAACCAAGGATTGTCAAACATCTACCCTGTTTTAATAAAATGACAGGCCCCAACATTAAAAAAGTAGACATAACTGAATTAGATTTTATAGTAGACTACATTTCTCTCCAAATCTGTAACTGAAAAAACATTCTGCAAAACCTAATCCCCACATGTTCTATAAAAAGGTTCTGTTTACCAACAGTAGGTCTTTAGCGCCTACATTAGCCTCTCGTGTGTGGTACACGTACAGGCTTGAGTGAAGCTGCCGTGTCCCAGCAGCCTCGTCCACACACACTCTTCTCCTTCAGTAAGCAAAGCAGGACCCTCCCTCACTCACGTTTGTTATTCCTGAGCTAAGGCCTGGTCACGCAATGTTTATCAGAGTGCCTCAAAGAGCTGTGTCAAATGTGGCAGCGCGTGAGCGTGTTGGTGTGTGCACGCTGCACGGAGCCGCTCCAAATCTGCAGTTTCAGATCGCACAACATTTCTCAGGTGGTTGAGGTCAAGAAAGGGACGCTCAATTAGAGTATATAATGTTCATTGGTCTCACAGACATGCATGTTCTTGGAATAACTGAAGTCATACAAAAGTTTTGTGGGGCTATAATAACAAAACACTTTAATCCAAATGTTTTGATGCTCCAAATTGTAAGCAGCTGCTGTTTTTTGTACTTGAATGTACAGAATGTGTTACATGAAGATATATGCTCATTTGTACATAGTTTATACATACACTAGGTTTAGAGAAAACATGTGAAAAACAAAGTCTTCTACTCAGGTCAAGCCCATCCGACTGTTCTCACGTGCGCAGTACCACGAGATGATTTATGTCTGATCTCTGCCCCCCCCTCCAAACCCCCCGTTGTCATCAGATGCAGGGCGGACTGCCAAACCAAAGCAAAGGCGCAGGGGAGAAAAAAAGAAGGAAAAGAGAAAAAAGTTTCCTCTGAAAGCTGCACCAGCTGAAACTGGAACAGACGATATAAACTGCTGACTAGTGTTTAACCAGTGGTAACAACATATGCACTTTAAAAGAACAATGAACAAATTGTAGCTTTATCTTCAAGCAGTTAAAGTCCAGTGTAGTTTCATTTTGGCAAAAACAACAGTCCCAGAAGGCGTGCCCACTCTTGGACTGGTCTTTTAATGAGCTGCAGTGCATTCCTTCATTGTACACACAGGACGCACTGGCCATGCTGGCAACTGTCCAAATATACCAGCAACTCATGTCAAAGGCCATCACAAACACTACTACAATGCGTCCCACTTTTGTAGGGGCCACAACATTCTGCTAATGCAAACCTCAAAGAAAACAGCTGATTGGACCCTTAGACTTGGGTCCAATCAGCCCTTGATAATCACTTTATTTGGAACTAGTCATGTAGCAAGTCAACACATTTACGTATTTGTTTTTTTAACCTTGTATAGAGCTTGCTGAGAAAGAGGTTTTATGACTCAGAAAGATATGAAAATGTATATCAAAAGTCCCATGTTCATGACCAATAGGATCAAAACTAACTAACTAATAAGCAACTAAACTAATCAATTATCAAAATAATACAGTTATTGTCCTGGCAGCCTTATTTGGGACAAACAAAACAACTGCTTGTTATTTCGCAATACATATATATACTGTATACAGAGGTCCTTCTTGTTGTCCAAATTTTTCTCGAACTGTGTGTGTAATGTCAAGTGAAAGTGGGGGTTGCCTGGCGTGAGTGCAGATCTCTGCGGTGAGGCGCTGGAATCTGGGGTTGCCAGGGGAGGGTCCCACATCTGGCCTGCAGCTTTCTGGGCTAATAGAGCTGGAGGAGGGCCGAGGTACGCTGGAATCCTACAGCCGCGGGACCTGAGCAAACATAGCGCGGGCTATTGAGTAGCCCTCCATCAGTCTGCCTGTCACCTCTGAGACCTGCCCTCCAACTGTTTACATTTAACAGATTTGAAATAACAGACCTGCTGAATCTGAGAGACAGGTGCTCCACTCAAATAAATGTAAGCACTTTTTCGCTTGCTATGGAGACCCCATCCGCAATCCCTCTATTACAATTGTTTCTTTTCTTTCTACTGTCTTTTAATGCATCATCTTTTGAAGTGGAATAGAGCAGACACAACAGGAGAAAAAACAGGAGACGTGACCCCGACCGCTTTGTTTTGTTGTCGCTGGGGAAGTTACACTGTCCCGCTTCATGTAAGGGACACTCATAAAACACGAGGTTCATGCAGCTAACATAGAAATATGTACAGTATACTATGGAATTGACTTTTTATATTGATTGGAGTTTGAAGAATTATAAATGTAGCATTAGGATAGATATTTTTACAGTAGTCATATAGGTCAATTCATGGTTTAGTTTTGTAGTTTCATTACAGTCATGACAAGAGACAAGATCTTGGTTTTACATTTCAAGAATATTGCCAGTCATATGATTACCACAATATCATCTGGCTAGACATCTGTTAACAATAACAACAACAACCCAGAAACCCTCAGAACATCATGTTCTGTAGTGATTCAAGTGCTGATTAATTTATCAAACACTCCATTTGTAAATCAGCGTTATTACCACAAAATGAACTGTCACATTTTTATTATGGGGGGAGTATATGAATCGGATTTACTCCCGTTATGAATAAAGTTGCATTTTTTTTCCTGCAGTTTGGTAGGTGCAGGTTTGTTGAAGTTTACAAACAGTTTTACTACAGTCTAGCACTATTTTAATGTGTAGGCCTAAGTATTATTTATTTAAATTGGAGAAAACGTGCTCGGTTTTTGCTCGCCTGAGTGATAGGCTATGTGAAGATGTTTTGCATATGTGAAGTTGAACTGGATTTTCGACATCCTGTAGATTCGAGCCTGGTCAATCTGTTTAATTACAGTTCAGAAACTAGCAGACATTCATCAGCCAACTCCATTATTATTTGGTAAAACACGGAGAAAGTAAAGTTTTTCCCCCATCATAAATTTTGTATTAGCATATCGTGAGCTTGTGTTTTATGTTTAAAAAGTCTTTGTCGCTACTGAATGCTAAAGTTTAAAGGATTGATGATCCATGGTGTGCCAAACTCTGGAAGTTGATTTAAGTTTCTCTCAAGTTCACTGGTTGACTTTGTTTTCTTCTCCTCAGACAGAATAAAGGCAGTACAAGTTTTATATAGTCATTGTCACGTTCACAAAGCGAAAAGACATAGTGTCACACAGAGACAGTCAATCATAGTCATAAAATGGAGTCCTTGGTAGATGTCCTTTACAGTCCTGCACGTAGGACATATTGCTATCTAATACTAACACCCTCCCCTTTGATTCACATTCTCACATGTGATCACTCAATTTGATCAATCATAAAGTGGAAAAGAAAAAAAAAAAAATCCTAAAGAAAAAACTTTACAAAATTTTTAAAAAACAAAGACAATGTATGCATTAAACTCAAAATCATCCACTCAATATCAGTGGATTTTATCCATCTATCCTGGGAAAAAATAACAAACAAAACAAATCAAAAAACAATCCAAAATTAAAAATAAACACTATATAATTTTTTTTTTTTTAATTGGGACACCAAGAACTCAGCCGATGCAGTCAAAAACAGACAAAAACGAGCTGAGTCTCAATATTTGAAGCTAATTTAACTTTTCTTACTCTTTACTATTAATTCTATGGCTGATTGATTTACATAATCACTTATTATTATCACTTTTTCAATCTTAGATGTGTACTTTACTTTCATTTTCACTTAATAGTTTAAATCTATTCTAATCTATTTACAAAATATGTGTTGCTATTTGTTCCTATTGAGCCATATTCTTAAACATATATTTTAATCTAATAAAATCTCTCTGTGGCATTGCACTTCATTATCAGTGGCTTTTATCAGTGGGGATTTTGCTCTATGTCATTCTCATTCTCAGGCAATACAATGTGACACAGTAAGGCAACGGTTAATTTAAACATTAGTTTATGGCCGGTCAGTTGTTCCACATACATTTGTTTATGAACCAGGGAAAGTACTGTCACTTCCTCCTCTCAGGCTGTTTTGGGATGAATGTACATCTTTTAATCAAATTAGTATTATCAGTGCTGGAAATAAACGGCGTTACTAGTAACGGCGTTATACTAACGCCGTTACCTTTTTTCAGTACCGGTAATCTAAATAATTACTTTGACAGTAACTATAAACGCCGTTATCATTTCGACATCCCGTTACTGCGCGTTACTCAAGACGCACAATGAACGTGTTGTTCATGAGAGAAGGCTGAGGATGTGGAAAAACCTCGCAGCAATTAGTTGGGGCTGATGTAAATCATATTTCCTTTACAATCTACATGTCTAATTGGAGGATGGCTCATAAATTGTGTTTTGAAACAAAATATGCGGTCTTAATCGCGCTCACCACGGCCTTGTGATCAACCGTCGTTGAGGTCAGCCACAGAGGAGCGCATGTGGAGCGCAGAAGTCGGCTGCATACAATTCCATCGATAAGCTCCTTGCACTTCCTGGTTTATCTGCTATAGGACAGCAACAGGTTTTGGTATCATACATATAACACATTTTACATTATCTAAAATGCACATAGGGTTATTTTTTCAATTCACTATAGGAATGATAAAGAGAGGTGAGTGTAGACGGATTGATTTTAGAAATTGGATGCGGCCGGCTGCAGCAAACCAGAGGAGTTTACGGAGGACACACGGTTTGTTTTTTTTTTAAAGAACTCATTGATCATTTCCAAATGGAGGATTACATTCTACGCTCAAAACCATTCACTGGATTTAAAATGGAATGGTCTGAACCGAAGTGGAACT